TCTTCTATCAGCGGAGACCTGCTGGGAATTGTTCCTGTTTGTTGCTCTGGCGAAGAAATCCCTGCAGCCTGTCAGCTTAATTGTTTCTGACTTACATTAAGATTTCCAGGGAAAACAAGGGGTGAAAATAATCATCTTCCTCAATCTAAACAGCATCAGAGAAAAGAAAACGAGCCCCGGGCACATCTGCTAGAGCCATCTCCCCGGGTGGGAAGAAAACGCCCCAGGCTCTGAAGGAAAACAGAGCCCAGCCTTTGCACGGGGCCCTGCTCAGTTCTGGATCTTTGACTGCGTGTCCCCCTCCCGGGCCATCAGTGGCACATGGTGGTAGCTACCCGTCCAGAGGAGGGCAGGTGGGGAACGGACCGGCCTCTACGCCTGCCTCTAATTGACTCGAGCTGCCCTCCTGAGAGTCACAGCGCTGCCCTTGAAGGGTGGAGTGGGCCCAGCCACATGCGCCCTCCCTGCTGCAGGCTGCGCCGGTCCGTTTTGCAGTCGCATCGGGAGAGGATTTCATTGGCGTGGTCAAGGGGGCCCTCCCAACTCTGCTGATTTTCTTGAGATAGTCGATGTCCTTAAAGCCCCAGCTCCCGGAGTCATGGGACTGGAGGAGACTCTCAGCTTGCATTTCCAAACAAACAAATTCCTGCCCGCCCCATGCGGGATGGCAGAGAAAAACTTGAAAACAAGAAACGAGGGGCCCCCAAAACGCTCAGAAACAGAAGGCAAAGATCCCCCCAGGCCTTACTTTTTTTAAATTTTAAATTTTTTAAAAATCTCGAGATTTTTAAGCGACTCTTGTGATTTGGCAGGGCACCGGGCGGGGCTGCTCCAGGGCTTCTGGCTGCTTGGGACTGGCGCCGCCAGCTCTCTGGGCACTTTGCCGGCTGCTGGCAGGGCAGGACCTGCTCAGAAACTCAGCGGCAACGGCTCATGCTCGTGTTCTGCTGTTTGCCGGGAGGTGCCCAGCACTGGCCTCACACAGACAGCAGCAGCCTCCTGCCTCCACGCCAGCTGTGGGGCTGAGCCCCCACCTCACACTATGGTCTAGAGCAGAGGTCCCCAAACTGTGGGGCGCACCGTCCCGGGGAGGCACAGAGGACCGTTCCGGGGCGGGGGGAGGGGCATGGCTGGGGCCCAGGCCAGCCCCCATGGGGGGCAGGGGGGAAGCGCTGCCCAGATCTGCTCCTGGCCACGGCCCCAGCTGCTCACCCCACAACCAAGGCTCCGCTCCTGGCCCAAGCTGCCAAGCCCGCACCCAGGGCCCTGCTTCAGGCTCCATGCCCAGGGGCCCTAGATGCCGGCTCCACCCCAAGCTGTGGCCCCAGCCTTGGCCCCCTTACCCCTGTCTGCCTCCCACCGGGGGCGGCAGCCCCACTCCCAGCCCTGCGCCCTGGCTACCAGTCCTGCCCCCAGCCTTGATCCCATTACCCCGTCCACGTTTCCCCCCCCCCCCCCGCCACTCCCCACCGGAGCCACAACCCCGCTCACGGCCTGTGGGGGTTGGGGGGGCTGGACAGGGGTAAGGGGGGCACGACCCTGAAAAGTTTGGGGACCACTGGTCTGGAGAGGGGTATAAATCTCTGAGCTCTGCTGCTGTGGGGCAGACATCCTGGCTACGGCACCGGCAACCCGCTGTCCTCTACTGACTGGGATCAGACCCACTCTTGGGCCCCTGTCGCCCGCCGGCAGCTGGAGGCCTGCCGAAGAAACTGGGCTCAGACTAACTCCGTCAGTGCAGGATCAGGGCCGCCCAGCTCAGCACCCCACATCCACACCGGGCAGGACCCAGCCTCTAGGAAAGCCCGGCTGGTTCTCTGGGCAGGGAAAAGCCTGCCCTGGGCACAGCGGGGGAGTTCTCGCTGGCTTCTTACATTAACCGCCGAGATGTCAAAATAACCGTTCAGTGGCACGGTGCCCAAGCAACCCCCTTATCTCCAAGCTGCAAGGCTCCAACACAGCACATGTCCTGCTTGCGGCTGGGCGGGCAGGGGGGCAAGCTCAGAGGGATGGCCCACAGGTTCGAAGAGCCCAGACAAGGCAAAAAGCCAAGGCCCCGCTTCCGCTCAGCTCTTCGTGCCAATTAAAGTCCCTTTGAACACGGCCCGTGCACCAGTGCCCGGCTGGATCGGGGCCCCGGGCTGCCCCTCAGTGCCCTGAGCCGCTCCCTAGGGATTCGGTTGTCAATCAGGCAAAGGGAAGACACAGCGCCGGCCCCACGTCGCTTCTCGAATGCCCTGCTCTGTGACTGCCCACAAACCCGCGCTAGGAATTCACCATGGCAGCGTGCAGAGACAAAGGGCTTGCCAGGCTGTCCTGCAGACGGAGGGCCAGGCTAAGGGTCATCATCCGAGTCGGAATTTCCCCCCCGGGTCAGCTCAGGAGCGGGGCTGGCGGGGACATGGTTCATCAACTGGGATCGTCTGGGTATATTTCACCTAGTCAATTCCCTACCACTGCAGAGGCATCAGGCGTTGGTGGGTCCCAGCTGTTCTCTGCCCGTGGCACATACGAGTTTAGGCTGCTGAGGATGGCAGAGCTTCATGCCCAAAGAAGGGAACTGAGACCTGGGTGAGCCCACATCAGGAACAGATTCTCCCGGCTCGCCCTTCAAAATGGCAGACCCCCGCGTCCGGAGCTGTATTGTTCCTGGCACGGCCATGAAGCCCTGCAGTCCCACCAATTTCAAATGAGACCACTGCGGGGAGGCGAGGACAAGAATTACTTGGCTGTGGTGGAATCTGAGCGTGTCCCTGGTGTGATGGGAACCGAATGCCATTGGGATGGGGTAAGACTCATGTGTTATAAATGGATCCTGGCCCAAGCCCCTCCCCAGACGTCAAGGGGGCTTGGGGTCCCGCTGCGGATCTCGCCCTGAATTGTACAGCTGGCCTGTATCTCTATCTGAACTAATCCCGGGGCCAAGAGCCCACGGGTTTGGGCAGGGCCAGATCCTAACCTGAATCTGAATCTGCGCGTTGCACCTCGGCCCTGTTTCTATCCTGGACCGACCCAAACATCCTGACTAACCGTCCCCTAGAATTCGGCAAGGAGAATTGGGTCCCGACCAGAATGCAGGTTTCCCAGGCCGATTTCCTGGCGGGCTTTCCAAGTGCACAGGGCCATAACACGAGCGCACCGAGATAGACACCTGCTCCCGGTAATTGCTGACTCACCTGTGACTGCTAATGCTAGGGGAGGTGGCAGAGGAGAGGCCAGACCCTGAGAACAGGAAAGCCTGCTGCATCTGCCTCCTATCCCCTGCACCCCCCTTTGCTATCGCCCCCCGATGGCACATGCATTAGGCCCACAGAGCGGGCTGAACCAGAACTGAGCTGCCTCTGAGCTCTGAATAACTTTCCCATGCCGACCCAACAGCAAGAGGCGCGGGGAGTTGAACTGCTGATCTGTGGCAAGCAACAATTCCTCAAGAGTCAGCTGCGCGGAGACTAGGCCTCCGAAAATGAATACAGGCCACCAGCTGAGGATCCTGAGGCCAAAATGCGTCCTACGCCAGCCGTTTGCTACTGTGACGCCACCCCTACATATAAACGGCAAGTGTGTATGTGCACCACTGTCCTCTACTGGAGGGAATTGGAACTGCTTCTCTGTGTGCCATAGGCCCTATACTGCTAATGGTGATTCTCCCACAGCTCAAGAGACCTCTTTCCAAGCAGGGGGATCCACGTTCTCTCGCCGGGGCTTGAGCACAGCGACAGCCCAGATTCGTCACATCAGGAGGGAATTCACCTGCCACCGAAAGGGGGACGGTGGCAGTAACCAGTGTTGCAGTTCAGAGAAGTGAAACGGCCGGGGCTTTCCTTATTGCAGCAAGCGGAATGTAACTACCCCAGCATGCCCGGCGCCAAGACCTGCTCCACAAGAAACTTCCTGATCAGCATTAGCCACCAGCTGGGACTGACTTCCCCTTGCTAAGCTGGCTCTCTTAGCTATCCAGTGCCTGCTAAATCCTGCCGGGCAGCAGCAGTTCAGTATTGACCGGGAGGCAACAGTGCCCCCTACTGGCACACCGATGGGTCCCATTTCTGAGCTGTCAGCTCGGTCAGTGCTTTGCCTTGGTGCTCTACGGGGCTTTGGGGACAGGACGGAGAGGGGCGGATGAAGTGTCCCAGGGCAGCTCTCAGAGCCAGTCGGGCTCACTCTGGAGTACACGCAGCCAGCTGCTGAACCTGGCAAGTGGAGGGAATTCAATGCCCTTTGTCTGGTCCTTTCGGAAACACCCCAGCACCAGCCTGGCTGCGAACAGCCCTCGCTCACCCACCACCCAAACTCTGCCAGGGCGAGTCTGGGCCAGCCCCAGCCCCCCTGACACGGAGACGACCCTCTCATGCCAACCTCCCTATCTACCTAACCCCCCGCTTACCATACTATCAGAGCACCTCGCTGCCTTCAATCCACAGACCCTCACAACCCCCCCTGTGAGGCAGGGCCATTAGCCCCATTTTACAGAGGGGAAACTGAGGCACGGAGCAACTAAGTAACTTGGCTAAGGCCACCCAGGGAGCCTGTGCAGAGCAGGGACTAGAAACCAGGTCTCACACATCCCAGGCTAACACCCCGGACTATCCTTCCTCTCCCTATACCAGACCCTCTTTTCCATCCACGCCCTTCTAGACTCCAGGTCACCCACAGGGGATCAGTTCCTTCTGGGTCACCTAAGCACTGCCAGCTAGTTGGTCACTGACACCCTAATGGGCTCTACAGATTGTTCCAAATAATTCTGCTCCTTCCCTCACAGCATCCCACTGCCCCTGCCACAGGGAAGGACCACGGCAGGCCCATGTTGGACAGAGAGGGAAACTGAGGCACCGCTGGCTCCGTGGCAGAGCCAAGAATGCAACTCCCCTGGTTCCCAGCCCCGTGCTCTGCTCCCTCCCCAGGTGCCAATGCTGTTTCACTGTGTTCTTTTTTGCAGTGGCAAGAGCCGCCGTGAAGCCGCGGCCAGAGTGCCCCCGGGGAAGAGGGGTCGGCTCACTTACCAGCTCAGAGTTGACGGGAGGCGCACACGGGGTAGCCGCCTGCGAAGCAAACACAAGAAGACCCGGCGTTAGAATGTCACCAGTCCCTAGGCGCGGCAAAGCAGAGACCGGGCTCTTGGTCATCTTACATGCGGCGTGACCTGGGCTGGGGGGCCGCCGCTAGGAGCCTGCCCCCGGACACCCCCCTCATGTCTGCTCCCCCCCGTCCACGGAGGCCTGCTCCACTGAGCGATGCGGCTGTGGTCAGCTCTGGCGAATGGTTGCGCTCCTTCACATGGGCTGGGGAAGACCTGAACCGCGCAGGGACGTGCAGAAGGAAGGGGGTGACGGCCCAGCCTGGAACCCACTGGCAATGGCGACCGCACCATTCTGTGCAATGCTCAACCGCTTCACAAGAGGGAGACCTGCCCGTGGACCCAACTGCCCCAAACATGCCAGGGCCCTGGCTTCGTCTTCCCCGGTCCTCGGACCGCCCAGGGTCTATGTGAGGGAGAGCTGCTGTATTAACTGCAAGCATTAATCTGAGCATACTTGGCTGGCTACTGCTTTTCACACAGGCTCCTACACACCCAGAAATCAGAGCGTGTGGCTGGTGGTACGTTGCAATCAGCCCCCTCCAGAGGGCATTTCTCTAATCACGGCAGAGCTTTGGGACGGGACTCGCACACACATCTGCAAAACGCCCCCCATGATCATTTCCTGGATTAGCTTAACCCACGCACCCAGCCCATCGCTGATCGATGTGCAACAAACCAGCAGGGCCTCTGAGGCCGAGAACGGGGAGCGTTCCATGTGGCTCCATCCGCTCTGGTGGTGACCTACCCCTGATCCTTCAGAGGTGGGAGGGAACATACCAATGAGCCTGATCAACGGAGCTGTGTTATACCAAGGGAAGGAGAAATTCCTCCTGACCCCTGCTGGTGATCGGCCCTGCAGCATGAGGGTGGCTCCCCTTGAAACACCATTTCAGCTCACACAGCAAAGAAGTTACAGAATCTGGAGTCCAGCCTCAGCATTTGCCTCAATGACCCCCCCAGCCCCCACTCCCACCAGTAGTGAACTACGCCAACTTAAGCGTAGAGGACTTCCTTTTCTCTGCCTGAACCATGCGTTCCTTTGTTTTCAACCCCCAGCCCCTTCTCACATCATGGGCTGAGGTGGGGGATCTGACGGTTTCCTGGCACATTCCAGGCTGAAGGGCAGACAGCAGGTGACTTGTCTGCCAGGGAAGAGGAATCGATTTGCCTCTTAAGAAGGAGAGCGATTCGATTTTGACAACTGCTTTGGAAATTAGGCGGGTTTCGTTGTTTCTAGATGGTAGGATCCTGAAGGAGCCAAGACTGGGGAAATCAGGCTAGGAGTGGGAACGCCGGCACTTTGCTCCAGCATGGAGAAGGCGACCGCGTGGCAGGTTAGCCCCATTACGGTGGGAGGCACCAGGTGGCGGCATTACACTGGCTTCTCACATAGCAGGAGACGATGCTTGCGCGGCTGTTCGGTTTGTGATGTAGTTTCTGGTTGGGGGAGCTGTTGCAAAGGGCAGGAGAGCTTGAATCGCCCTAGCCGGAGTCCGTTCTTGGGGCAGCATTACTCCCTGGAAACTGGGCAGTAGAGTTGGGCTGGGACGGCTAAAGCAGCCGTTGCCTCCCTGCCCTTCGTGACCACCTGGGCCCTAGGCCGCTGGATAAACGAGTTACGCGAAGCGTGAACTCTGAGCGCGTGCCACGGATTTCTCCTCCAGCGAGAAACCATCTTGCTAGGCCATGGCACCTGCTACCGCTGGGCACTGGGGGGCCAGTATGTAACATTTCTGCTCTGCAGTCCCTCCCCCACGCCCCGCACCAGCTGCACGACCGTTGTTAGCTAACGTGGCTTGAGCCTCCACGGACAGGCGGGGGCCCCAGGCACACTCAGCAGGCGCATTTCACCTGCTTGCCCCCCCATGCAGGAAGCACAGAACCCTCTGCTGAGCCCAGCAGCCCCGTCCTTGCAAAGACCAACCACCCCTTGCAACGTCGCTTGTCCACGCTGCCCCTCACGCTGCACAGACCTCAGCGCAAGCAGCCGGCCTCTGGCTTTCCTCGTAGCCGGAGTTTCACATGCCCAAAGAAGCATCTTGCCAAGCCTCCCGGGGCACGGCTACCGTCCCGGGTACCGTCTCACATTGGTGCGAGCGAATAATTGCCGTGCAGGTTCATCCAAAGATGCTCATGCTGGCTCTGGTCCCTCGCCCGGAAGGGAGGGGAAGAGAAGAGCTGTTGGAGGGGAAATGAAGGAGGCTGGCTATTCCGGATGGCAGCTGTGGCAGAATAAAAGGGTCTTGTAGCCAGACTGCGTGGTCAGAGCAAGAGCTCACGAGCTCTGCACAATCCTCCGCCCCAGTGTTCGAAAGCGGGAGCAGTCGCTCCCCTTCACATAGCATGGATTCCCACGCTCGCCCGTTACGTCCAGGCTGTCGCCTACCGAGCCTAGCTTCGGGCTAGCCGCTGCCTCAGTTTCCCCTCACTCCGGCTGGCTCTCACTGCCCGGCCTGAGTCTCTTCCTGGGGACAGTTTTATTGTGCAAAGATCGAACTTGGGCAAAAACACACACACAGAAAGCAGCTTCTCTGCCCACCCGGAGCTCCAGCTCCGAGAGGCTGTCCCCCCATGCGTCCCTCAGTGCTGGAAGGTATTTGTATGTCCCTTGCAGCTCCCCCCCCGAAAACATGATGTGCCCCCTCTCCCACCGCTCCTCTCCCTCCCACCTGCTGCCCCCAGAAACACAACAGCTGCAGCAACCTCCCACAGAAGAAAGGAAATGCTCCGGATCGGAGCCGCACCAGCAAGCTGATCTCCTACACTGGTAGCTCGTCGCAGTAGCCACTGGCTGCTGCCACGTGTCGGGGACATTAACCTTTGGTCAAGGTCATCAATGCCAGGTCCCTCCCTGTGCCTCTCAGCCGTCTTCCCTCCACGTACCCTCTGCTCACCAAGCATCAGAGTCCAGTGCTCACGCACGAGCATCCGTCGGCGCAGCACCTGGAATGCCCCGTGTCCCTTCTCCGCCTCCTTAAATCAGCCCTCTGCCAGCGCCGTGAGAAGCAGCTTCAATGAAAGATGCTGAAAAAATGAATCGTGGTGTATGGCATTACTGTGTCTTATCCGGCGAGCTGCTGGGGTAGTGCCCAGCCAGCGACAGCCGGGGTGAGCCCGCAGGGGCTGGCTCAGTGCTCAGATACCCCGGGGACGGGCACTGATGGACGGATGGGTCTCCCGCTGCAGGGTTTATCTAGTGGCTGAAGGCATGACAAAACAAACCCCAACAGAAGAGAGAGGCTGAGGATCTCGATCTGAGCCCAGGAATGGGACTCCTCATTTTTGTTGCTGGTTCTGATGCTGAGGCTCTCTCTGAGCTCAGATGTGTCCCTTTCCTGCCCCGTGACTCAGTTTCCCCATCTGCTGAATGGGTATGAAGCTGCTGGGCCGAGGATTCATGTTTGGAAAGGCTGAAGCAGTGCTCTGTATTAATACCAGGGGAGTATTTAGGGGTAATCCCACTGAGAGCTCATTTGCTGAATTAACTAATGAGTTAATTACCAGAGTTCTTTGAAACTGTGCCTCCCTGATGGAGACTGCCCTTCGACCTGAGGGGCTGGGGCCGGGTGTTCAGAGAGCAGATCGTCAGTTCGATCCCTCGAGCCGCAGGCAAGCAGCTGCAGTAGCTGACGACAGCGATGTCTGCTCTTACGGACGCTGCACTCCAGAGGCAGGGCTGGCCTACGGTCCTGTGTGAAGAGAGGTCTCGGCTGCTATCAAAAGGCCGTACTGCTACAGTGGCCTCCTCTAATGGCTGGGCTGCAGAGGGTAACAGCCTACCACTGCTACTTGCCAACTGAGTAGCTCCTTTAGTTCAAATGACAGGGGCCTGTGCTCGGAGTGCTGAAGAACCTGGGCTCAGGGCCCGGGGTCATTACGTAAAGTTGTTTTAAGCAGCGTGTATGGAACCTTTGAAGTGGAGCAAAAGACCGCAGATGTCAGACGAAACAGCCAAGCTATTGTTCCAGTAATTACCAGAGGCAAATTACTGCCAATTAACCTCGGGCTTTGTTTCCTCCGTATTCCTCTTGGTCCCTGCGTCAGGTCCGGATTTGCCAAAGGACTCAGGGTCTGGGTATCGAATAGCTCTGGAGGGGCTCAAACCCGGGCTCCTGCCGAGCAGAACAGAGTGGCCCAGCCATCATCCTGATTGCGACAACAGCTGGGACTCACGCCGGGCAGCAGACCTCTTCTGATGCTGCTCCTGGGCTGGCCCTTTTCTCCTCTACACGCAGGGTGATCTTTACCCACTGCAGAAAACAGCGTCAAGCGCAGCGTAAGCCCAGTTTTGCTGGTTCACTTTCCCATGTCCCCAGCCCCGCACCACACGCCAAGCTCCGCTCCGCCCAGTATATCCTGCCACTCACACTGGCAATCCAACCCAGAATTTCCTGGAAGGAGCTTGTGGCTCAAAACTATTTGTTGATATTGATACGGCACGAAGACACGCATGCCAGGGAAGCCACAGCTACTTCCCAGCAAGAGCTGCTAAGTACCCAAGCCCCTGCATGTCCCCCTCCGAGGGATGGACATAGGGAAGTGACCGGAATGTCTCTGCACCATCATTCCAGTGTTTCTCAGGCCCTGTGCTGAGATTTCTGGGATGGACGAACATTGCTGAGGGGTCCAACTTCCCAGCACCCCAAAGCAAATCCCACGTCCCAAAGTCTTGGACTCGGAGCCAGCTCTGAATTCCACAACTGGCCCACATCTCTATAACCAGCCAAACCAAGCCTGGTAATGCCGGAGAGCAGTCAGAAAAAAAGCTACGGGAAAGATTCCTGGTCTGGAAAAGCCAGCTTGCAGCGAGAGACTGAAGGAACGGGCTCTGTTTAATTTATCCAAGCCCCCACAAGGGGAACTGACTTCTGAGAGCAGAGGCTGGACACGGTGCAATGCCTGGAAGCTGCAGCTATAGAAATTCAGGCTACGAACAAGGCCCCGGTTTTTAACGGTGAGGGT